AGGAAAGGCATTGTGTGCACATACATTCAAAAGGGTTACCAAAATTATCAGGGCTGTGCACAATTTAATATTCTACCGATCTACAGTATAAATTCTACACGATTTATGTTTAACTTAAGTGTGAAATTTATTTAAAAATAATGTTATTATTGGAATCAATACAAACCAATGCAAACTGAATAACAGAATAACTGCAATAATAACATATAATAATAATACTGTATTTTCAATTTTAACATTTTACTAGACTTTATTTTATTTAAAAATAATGTTATTATTGGAATCAATACAAACCAATGCAAACTGAATAACAGAATAACTGCAATAATAACATATAATAATAATACTGTATTTTCAATTTTAACATTTTACTAGACTTTAATCCATTTTTGTTGCTAGTTCATACAAATAAATTTATGAAACCATGTTTACTAGTAATATAATGGGTGAAATAAATGTTTAAACAAGCAATATTATATTTCATAACATTTAAAATTTAATTTTTATAAAATTATTACTTTTATTTAAATTTATTACCAATAAATTTATAACAAAACATTACAATATTTTTACAGTTTTGTTTTATACAAATAGAAATTACAAGTATTAATAAATTATTTTATAAATTAAATTTAACTTAACGACAGATAAGTTATGCTAATATTTAAATATTCAAATACATTTATGTTTACACCAAATGATTTTAACAATTAAAACATTAAAATGACATAATTTATCCAAATTATATAGTTTACAACAAATTAGATAAATTAGAATTATTTTTACAAAAAATCACAAATCGTTATAAAATATTAAACATTAATAAGAGATTCATTACTAAAGATTCAAAACAAAACATTTCTTATTGCTTTCATAAAGTAGTCAATCATTTATTTCTCTCATAAACAAAGTCATAGTCTTTATTATAATTACAATTTATTTCTTCTGTGTTTCAGATAATAAAAATGTGTATATAAAACAAAACATTTCTTATTGCTTTCATAAAGTAGTCAATCATTTATTTCTCTCATAAACAAAGTCATAGTCTTTATTATAATTACAATTTATTTCTTCTGTGTTTCAGATAATAAAAATGTGTATAATTTTTACCACTTTGTGTAATTAATAAAAACAAACAACTTATCGTATCAATTATTACAATAACTTATTTGTATAAAAATATTTTTGTAGTTCCTTATTTGTTTTTATTTAGCCTGTTTGTTTTTAAAATTTAACTTTTACAATTTTTAACGTTATAGAAAAAAAACTAAAACTTATATAACGGGATATTTATAAATATTTATGAATTAGTTATATTGGAAATTAAACTATTATATTTCTCTTGCATTTTACACATTTCATTAAGCATTTAAAATACAAAACAACCATTTTATATATTATTTTTGTATTTGAGAATTAAATTTAATTATAATTAAAGTATATTTTTTATTCTCATAAATTTTCATATATTTAATTTAGTAGTGATGTTCACATGATTCAATTTTACTCCTAATAATACATGAATTTTTCAAAATAAAATAAAATGTTATAATTAGAGCAATAAAAATATTATAATATAATTATAAATATGTTCTTAATGAATTAATGCAAATAGATTTTCAATACACAGTAACTTTAATTAGTAAATTATTAGTAATTTTTAAAAATATATTAATTCATGACTACATCTATTAGAAAGACCAAATATAGAAATAAAAATTACCATTTAAATACTTGATATAGAAATTGTTTCTAATATTATTTTGTTGTAATATTTTTAAATAAAATTAATAAATATCATTAATGATAGTGAATTAATCTTTTTATAAAATCACTAATAATTTACAGATCGGTGAGTAATTATGTATTTAGGATATTAGTTAATACATTAATTTACCCAGAACATACACTAATTAATTTTATAATTCAAAAACAAAAATAAAATTTACTGAAGAGTTTATACATTGTTTTGATTGGTGTTAGCGATGGCCGACATTTGACTTGACTTTGCAATGAGTGAAACAAACGACAGAATATTCCTCAAGAGAATCATGTATTTTATGAAGACTTTCGTCTCAAATGACCAAAAATAGGGAAAACTAATTGTGATTTTCTTTATGAATAATGATTTCAAGTAATTCCGACACTTTTACCACTTATTTATTATTTATTTTGCAATTTTCATTAAAAGCTTATAAACCAATTATTAATACTATATGACTGTATGGCTTGACAATGGATTCAAGATTTAAATATAGAGTATGAGCTTAGACTTAATGATAATACAGTACAGAGTATAATATAAAAATTTAAATTTTCTTTGTTTTTTGCAAAAGTAATTTTAAGCTCTTTATGGAAAATAGAAATTTAATTGATTTTGAGGTATAATAGTGTTGACAAGAAAATTAATAATTCGGAATTTATATGAAAATTTTATAATAAATATTAAAGTGTTTATTAATTATCAAATTCTATGCTATAATTAAGAATGGCACGACATTGATGATTTTCGGTGGAGAATCCATGGGTTTAAATATAAAATAAAGCCTTTTGTAGTGAACGAGTAATTAGAAAAAGTTATGAACAGATAAGTCATGAAACCAATCGCTGGTATGTATTAATCGCACGCAATGTTCATATGATGGGCAATGCTATGTCGGCTACGTGAGCACCGTAAGCTCATTACGGAATATATAAGTTATATATATATTCTGTATTATTAATAACTACACAATGAAAGCTCAGATAACAATTAATTAAAGTCAAAGCAAATACGGTTTGTTTATTAATGGCATATACGGAATGACCCCTTTGTTATGGTCTCACAAACTAAACATTTTTCAATTACACGTAACGCTCTTATCTATTATATTGTGATTATGATTGCAATTGCGGGCCATATATTATAAAGACAAACACATCTTTAATGAGAAACACTGAGAAAAGTCATCATTTGTACTAAAATAACAATATATTTATATTATATCCACATAACAAACAACACTCTCTTGTTTGACGACACTTTTTGGTCAGATATCTGTTATCTTTCCGTCGGAAAGATTTGGTGTGATCTCTATTTTGTCACAAATGGGCACCGGAAGCATATCACCAGAGCTCATGTTTTGCATACCAGGGGTCATGGGATGGTGAGGTGATAATGAAAAGCCGTGACCACCCGGCGCTACACCAACATTGTCAGCACCAGAGCGTGAGGAACACCGTTGTCTGTCGGCGCTGTTGTTACAGCACTGGTCGCGAGCGATATAACTCACTATTATTCGTCGAAATGCTTCACGAAATTCAGTGTTAAATATACTGATGAATGGATTTGAAATGAATGCATCGATTAGTATGATACGTAAACATGAATCATCAAGAAGATAAATTATTGATTAAATACCTATAAATTGCTGGGTTTAGACTACTATTAAAATAACCTGCAATTGATGTGTGAAAATAAATAAAAAAAGATACGACAAGTTATTAGATGTGGGATTAGTATAGGATTGGCAGTCGTAGACATACCCAGCCATGAAAGCACTTTGAACGCCAGACTTGGGATACATGTCTTGCAATAAGCGGCCACTATATTCACGCAGAAGAATGGTGTCCAACACGCTGTAGATGTCGGGCAAAGAGACAGTGAAATATGACATTTAATATATGGTATTACGAGACATAAACAGAGGATTATTGAATGAGTGGTGAATACGTGCCTAAAAACGTCCCCATTATTACTCCTAAAGTGATGGCAGCCTTATGTTCAGTGATGTGATGATTATATGTCTGTCCGTTTACGTGAATCGGTTTTGTCATTGACTTAATACTCTTGACATGTTTCTGACAGATAGCGTACAGTTTGGCATAGAGACCAACCATTATGATGCAGGGCAGGTAGAAACTACAGGTGCAATTGTTATTACTTTCAATTATGTTTGCATTATACAAATACATGCCATATAATTAGATTTAAATCATATAAAATAATAATCGATTCTGTAAATTAAATAATTAGATAATAAAGAAACACTAAAATTTTATATAATTAAATAATGTACATGACCCTAACATATAAATTATGAGATATAAAATTTAATTTGATTTTAAACGTACAGTATGTTTACAGTTATAGGAACCAGAATTTCATGTGATTTCAAATTGAGATTCTGTTGAGTTGTGACTCACATGAGACTGAATACAAGATGTGTGGAAATCAATACATTTATTGAAAAATACCGATATATCTTAGATTCTAACACTTGCTTTGCATTAAAATATTCTTTAAAATGTTTTATTTTTAGACTATTCTGACTAACTCTACAATGACTTATTCAATGCATAAGAATCTTGAATAAAAACTAAGTTTTTTATAAAAATATTTTACTCTTTTTTCATTCTTCATGTCATCGATTCAAAGCAAACATAAAGAATTGAATAAAATTTTATCTCAATCTCAGCAAAACTTTTGCATTTAATGTAAGATCGAAATCAATAAAAATATTTTTTTCGGCTTTTAAATGACATTATATTTAAGGAAAACAATCAATCATTCAATTTCTTAGTAATTGTTTCGGATTTACATTTGCTTTGATTAGATTTGATGTGTTTGAGAGCAATGTCTTTTGCAAATGTAATACTAATTACTTTTCATTGAAAGATACAGTATTACAGTATTACTGAATACGCAAATTACCTGATGGTTGAACTGACGACAGCATAGGTAGGCGTGAGATCGAGTTCACACTGCGGTCTCTCGTCCACGATATCTGTCACTAAAGTATAGTTTTTATCCAAAATCGTATCAGTGGTTGGTTTATGCCATCCGAGACTTATTGGCACAAAGGATACCAGTCCTGACACCAACCAAATGCCAGAAACGGCGCAAAAAACGATTTTTTTAGTCATCCATCGATTGTAACTCATGGGGTCTTTGATGTGAACAAATCTGTCCAGAGATATGGCGCACAGATTGAGTATAGAGCACGTGCCTATCGGTGCCATCAAAAACAGATTAATAAAATGAACAAATACAAACAATTTGGACCTATGCTCGAGTATATATGAGCAATACTTACAGCAACTGATGTCAAACGCGATCCATATTTCACAAAGTTGTGGTCCAAACATCCAGTACTCCATGAGATCATTGGCCACTGCGAATGTCATCACTAAAGACCCCACAAATAGGTCTGCCAGTGCTATATGTGTGACATATAGACAGAGATAGATAAGAGACAACTTGATTACATATAATCGAAATACAAGTTTTTAGATATAATTGTAATGTCCAGTGAAGCGAATATATTTATAGCGAAATATTATTCAATTTGAAAAATATATGAGAAATCGTATGAAACCTAGAGAAGCGAGAAAGAGGTTTCCAAGTCTTCGCAGTCGTCTATCACTGGAAATGGCCAAACAGACCAATATATTGCCTAATATTGATATCATTATCATTAGCCCCAACACGAGTCCGACCACTATTTTAATATAAGTGCTAAATGGTTCCGAGTCATCCATGTCTTCCGATGAAGAATCCGTTACTTTATTCCAATCGTATTTAAACTCATCGGATGTTTCGGATGAATGTGATATAGTTTTGGTGGTCAACCCAATCATTGTATCAATTGTGTCCATTTTGCTGTCATTTACAATATAAAACTCTTTTTGCCTAAAGAAAAGAAAAGTTTGTCAGTTTTGTCATAAGATTTTTTATGTGTATTTCCTTTAGTTTAGATAAGAATTAGCAAAAAAGTTTGACAAAAAAACCGGAAAATGACTAAAATGACTAAAATTAATTATTTATTCTGAATGAGAATATATGGCATAAACTGAGAGAGCATTTGGAGTCACGAATTCTGTTATTTCTATTGAAAATGACATAAAAATACGATCATTTGATTATAACTGTTGAGATTTTCTTACATTAATTATTCAACGAAAAATCAAACAACAGATTAAACAAATATATATATATTATTATATATATATTATTATATATATATATAAATACCTCAAATGAATGATTGCCTTAAAGGCAAAAACTGTGGTTAAATACATTGACAGAAATTTTGAACTGAAAATCCATTCAAACGCATAGATTATCTAATTAATGAAAATACAATTTCTCTCACAATTGCCTCAAACATATCAAACATAATATGGATTGGAATTTAGTCTTTCATTTCTTCTGGAAGTCTTGCAAATGAAAGTGAAATAAAAACAAAATACCAGTCCTTTAGAGAATATTCAGATTAAGATTTCATTAATAGATTGTCTTTTGTTTGAAAACTTGTTAACTAATGAATAATATTTTATTTTGAAATTTCTTTTATAGAGTCATAAATTTTTGTCACTATTTCTCAATTCAAATGATTTTGCTTTCAATTGAGTCGGAATACAATAAATACAAAAATTTCAATACAATTACAGAATGAATAAAAAATCTTTTATAAAATAAACTAAAAATATTTTTCCTACATTCATAGAAAATAAATAGACTTTAAGTAAAATATAATTAATTACAAAGTATCATACATGTATATGAAAACATGACTGCATTGAAGTTCAAACGTACGATAAGTATTATGCAATGATTCACATTTCACAAAAACTACTTAATTTTACAAATTTTTAACAAGTGTTTTAAATATATAGCTAATAGTACTGTATTTCTGGGTAGAGTAGTAATAATAGAAATAATTTGTAAAATGAATCATATTTGTAGCAGTTTTCATATGTTTTGTAGGTTTTCTGTGTAAACGGTTATGGAATTGATGCGATTTTTATATTATTTATATGTTATATAAACACAACATATGATTCTGTATTGAATTTATACGTATAATAACTCAGAGCCTAAACCTCGGATTCTTAATAACTGAATGTCTGTCCGATATTATGAAAGAAAACATTATATAAATCATAGATGAAGGCGGCTATCAGTGCTTAGTCCTATGAAATGCAATCCTTTGGCATCATATTTGGCAACAATAATGGGGTTGAGTTCAAGAACCAGATTATCTCTACTGTACTGTACTGTCAGTATTACAAACGCAATCAATGAGACAAATAGTGATAAATATATTGAATCTAACTTTCAGTTCAATTCAATTAAAGAGACGCTAATTGAAGCCAAACATCCATTTAGGATACAATTGATTGTAACAAATATTTAAATACACATTAATTTGAGTAAAATTCTTGTTATTATTCAAAAGAGTACAGAATTTTGCTTTTTGTATCGATGGGAATACAGTATTAAAGAAATGCTTAAAATAAGAATATATTCTTCTTTTTATCCACAAATCTTATACTTTATATTCAAATCACGTCTGAAAAAGCTTTTAAAATATGATGTTTAAATAGCATCTAATCGTGAATTTATTTTAAACGTTATATTTATACTTGGATTAACATACATTTTGATATTATTTAAAATTAAATTGAGCAATTTTAAATTAATTTTACTGGTAATTATTAACTATACAGTAATGAGTATATGTGATGCTTTGTAGTTTACAAGTGAATTGTATAAAATGTTTCATAATGTGTCAAAAAGTATAAAATTTTAACTCAAATACTGCATAATTTATAGTCAAATATAATATTTCAATCAAAACCGTAAATCTTGAGATGAATGAGATATGTTTTAAACGATTTATTAATAGATAAAATTTGTTTAAAACGTTTGACTCTGAATTTGATGCATAAAACATTATTATCTGATAAATAGTCACTTAATGTGACACTTATTGTAAAATATTCATATAACTTATTTTAAATTACTTTAACGCTTAAGTGTTTCTAAAAAAGAGTTTTCAAAATCACCTAAAAGTGTGTTTTGGATTAAAAACTATATCTTTTGCATCAAAATTGGAGTGATATTTATATTTTATATTTTAAATTATATAATTAAAATTCATTTGAATTTAACTCCCGTTTAGATTTAAAAAATTATATGAGTTATAGAGAGTATTGGTTGACATGAGACGGTATTTAAGACCATAACAGTTAAGTAATGCTTTCATTCTATGTTCTACTTATTGATGCATTGAATACAGTGTTGTATCCATTGAGTGACCACTGCCTCACATATAGCCAACGCATGCATTCAATGAACCATACATTTGACAACCGCTTCGGAGACCAATTGTTTGCACTAATAGTGAGTTATCTGTCACTCGATGACAAACTGCGATACGAATGCCTCTTAAAATGCTTCCAACGATTCATTTTCAGCGGACACCATGTCTTGAATGCCACTGACATCTGGGGTATTGTCTTCAGTGGTCACTAGATCTCATCGACTGGTGGTTGTGTTTGCGAAGCTGAAGAATATTTGCAACATTGAGTTAATGTTGTGGTCAACAACCGAAGACTCGTGGAGGTAATGGTCAACAGTTAAGACACATCGAGTGGTTTAGTGAATACAATTCAAAGCTGCACTTGGATTACAAGAATCTTCTGAACTATTGTCCGAATCTGTTGTCTATAAGTAATGTCAGGATTGAAGAGTTGGTGACAATCGGTGAGGAATGTGTCAATCGGTTTCAAACAGTGGATAAACTTATTGTCAATAATACAAACAAACAATAGTTTGATTGGTTTGAGAATCAAATGGCAGTAAATGTCGAATATCTTAATATTTTATTGA